GTGGGCCAAAATTTCGAAGATCCTCGGCCGTTAGCCAATCAAAATCGAGGATCTGCCGGTCCAAATTTGTTGCAGCAAATGTTATTAATTACCACTCTATTATCTGTTATACTTAAACTTTTATATTTTCGTAATTAAGTTACAAGCCAACCACACCACTAGTTTAACAATAATAAAAAAGAATTGTAACTGTTATTCTTTATGAACAATAATTTTTATTATTAATTATCACTCAGCGTATTAAAATAATTAGCCAATCAATTGATTTTTGCAATAATCACATCAAAGTTAAATCCGCCCATATGATCGTCAAAATTTCAGAAAATGCCCAAATAGTGATTTTCTGCAAATTACCTTATAATTAATCAACATCAAACCAAACGTCTCAAAAGAGTTCTGATCAGAAAAAATGTGCTTCGTAGCAAAATGTTGACCAGCCGACCGGCCCAAACTTTTTTAGGTCCACCACTGTGGCGTCCTAATTTTTATCGCGAGATCCATCATCGTTAGTCCATGATCATATTACGTAAATCTATAATGTTTCGAGTTAAAAGATTTAACACATTTCATAATTAAATAAAAAATATATTCTTTTATTATTGACCAAATTTGGTTAGAACGTTCTGTATCGTATCGTAAAATAGATCGACCGGATTAGATATTATCGAATTTGGGTCAAAATCCCGAAAGAACGTAATACCGACAAAGTTAGTCGGCACTAGCCATAATGCTGGCCAATTTAGTCGGTGTTATGTTCTTTCGATAATCTTTCGGGATTTTGACCCAAAATCGATATTATCACTGCTTGCGAATTAACCAAGTAAATGAACATGATAATGAGTTGCATTTACCAAATTTCGGGACATATCGGATTTTCTGACTTTCTTTAAACATTATAATATTTTATTATTCGTTGCAATTCAAAATTAACTTTTACAATAATGAGCTATATTATTGACTATATTATTGACAATAAGATAACGGCTTTTTTATTTTTTTGTTCATCCTAATTTTTTATTTATTATAATATCATTTCTCATTTCAAGAAAAAAATGATATAGAAAAATCAAAAAAAAAAAATTTAGCCAGCAGTTTCAATTTTCAAATGGATTTCTCCTTTACTTGATAAACCGAGCATAGCGGGTAGCTTAACCCACTCATCGAAATAACCATCTTTAATTTTATCAAGATCTACTTTGCCTGTACCGATCTATTAATAATATTAAGAATTATGAGTAACTTTTAGTTGTTAATTGAAATAACAACAATAATAATCACCTCATCATCTGAAACAAGGTCCTTATCCACCACTCTGAGGTGAAGGTGTTTGTGTCCGTCTGCATGACTATATGAAAAGATAATTAATATTAGAAAAAAATTATTATATGATTATTTTTTTGATTAACAAATTTTATGAAGACAGTTACAAAGTGAAAGTTTCGTTGTATTCAGGTTCCAGTGTGTTATTTTTTGTTGTAGTCTTTTGTTTATAATTTTTTTCAAGCCAAAGCTCAATGTAAGGATCACTTTTTCCCACTAAGTCTTCATCCTTCAAGTGTCTGGCTTTAACTATAAATAAAAAAAGTCAAATTACTACTGTTAAAAAAAACTCTATTTTGCGAATTGCCACTTACCAACGGTAACTTTGAGAGCTCCCTTCATTTTTATTTTTTGAATTGAGGTTGTTTTTTTTGATTTTGATTTTAATTTAAAAGGTCCAATTTATAATTTTTTTCCCAAGATTTTCGGGCGTGTGAATAAAAAGTTGATAAATACATATATTGACACAATTATTACAATTTAGTAAATCTTAAACAAAGTACGTATGTAGACTTATACGAATATAACCATATATGTAAGGAACAGGCGATATATGATATGGTTGTAAATGAACGTACATATAGATTGTAATCACAAGATAATGATCTCATTAATGCAGTGCTCTTTAATGTTTAGGTTGGGATTAAAGTGCCTATCGCTATTTTTATTACCTTAATATTTTTTCCACGGAATTACGTAATAATTTGATTATTACTATATTTAGATCTTCTGTAAAATATGTACAGTACGTACGTACGTACCATTCACTGATAATCATCGGTACCGTTCCTGATATGGTAAACCAAAAAAAAAAGATCGATTCTATGTTCTGGGGTTTTTTGTAGGATACTAAAAAAAGAACCAGTCGACATAGCCATAATTCGGGTTATAAAAAGTCCAACAATAGTCATGATCTTGCTAATAGTTTACAGCAATCAGACCTATATTGTAAGTTATTCATATGTAATATTTGGGCGCTATTCAATGGAAAAGGAGGAGATCTCCTTTTGGCTAAAACTTTTTATTGGTTTATTATAATTCTAATTAGAACGTTGAATTATATTAGCAATCTTGTACAAAAATATTAATTGGTATGATCTGCAAAACGTGATTTCTGCGCCCATTTATTTCTACGATATGATAACTTCTAATTGGTCAATCCTTGGTCTATCACTTTGGTTGTATTTATAGTTAGAGTACTTTTTTAAGAATGTAACAAAAAAGTTAAGACGTTCTAAAAAGAAGCGCCAAATTCACAATGCAAATAATCTCAAACATTAATTATTTAGAAAATTCCACATTTCCATACTGACGGCACGAACCTAGCATGATCAGTTACGTACGTACGGAGTTAAAATCATTTACCATCAATGGATAAATTAAATAACACTTTAGATTTTCGATTAATTTACTGCGCTCACATTATTAAGTATATAGTTTTTAGTTAATGACTAGACAATTTGAGAATAATTTTGGTATCTAATATTCATACTATATACTCTGATATAACAAAGGATGGTAGATGATATATAAAAACTTTAAACCAAGTATGTTATAGCATGTAAAGTTAGACAGTTCTATAATCGATATATAACAGATAATGTGACAAAAAATGGCTAAATTACGAGATCTGATCAGACTCGTAGCGAATACGTAACTGATTTTGGTAGTCATGCCGAATTTGTCATATTATAATGAATTACGTCAAAAAAATAAATTTACAGCATTGCGCTCACACCACTAGTCATGCTAGGGGGTTGCATGAGTTTTTTTTACTTTAATCAGTATAAACCAAAATTTACAGTAATGCCTTTATTTCCCCGGTCATGCTTGTTATTTCCCCGATAATTACTGCTACTTCCTCGGGGCGCACGTTATAGTTATTGTATGGGTTGTAAAAAATAACTAAATTTGCACGGGATAGTGGAGGCCATGTAACCCCGTGCAAAATTTAGTTATTTTATAACCCAATGAAAAAAGCACGGGTTGTTACATAAGACCCGTGCAATAATTTATTATAATAATTATTATAGTTTTATTTTGGATGGTCTTTATATCACAGTCGTTGTATTATTAATTTACTATATACAGTATATACTTCCTAGGTAAAAACTTTAATTTTAGATCTGTTTTATTAACTTTATTAATAAAATTTATTAAAAAGCTTATAAATGATGGTCGAAAATCACATAATACGTAGAAACGATAGAATTATATTCTCTTAACCGGAACGATGATATCATATTATTATGGTAAAGTTTTTAAATTCTTTTACAGTTTTAAGTAACATTTCGATCATATTATCAGTTATTAAAAGCGAAGATTTGTTTTATAATTCTCTTAGTACGACAATTTATAAAAAGAAAGTTATTTTGAATCGAAAACCCAGTCATGTCATCATATTATTAAATAACCCGATTTTTTTTATTAATTTCACAAATATAACGGGAAAGTATTACAATAGTTTTAAGCATAACTAGGGTATTACCCTTTAATAACAACCCGGGTAGTTATTACAGCATTTTACAGCATACATTGAAATTTTTAAAATTTTAAAATTTTAACAATAGTAAAGTTAAAGCTGTTATAACGAAATCCTTTAAAGTTATTGCTTTTGTCTTACTGATAATATATCTTATATATTTAGCACCTTTTTCTGGTGGTGTATGGAAAGTCCACCTGACCAATACCCATTCAAATCACCGTCGATTGGGTATAATAAACATAAAATAAAATATACATGCTTGTGCCGAGTGGTACTACAAGTTTCATCGCTCTATGAGCGGTAGCAGCTTGGGCATCTTTACGGAGGGAATTCTTCTACCAGCACGAGCTTTTCCATTGACAGCTTTTCAAATTTTTTACGAACGTTGAATGAAACACAGTAAGTTGAATGAAAATCGCTAGCTTTTACAGTATAAAGGAACGTTTTATTTTCTTTATTATTATTATTATTATTATTATTATTAGTGCTATTATGTTTTAAGATATTTGGATTATTTAATTTAATATCCTTTTATATAAAAGTTTAATTACGTACAAGCTAATAACGTATTTTATAACGTGAGAGGTTAGGGTATTAATTCCTCGCAGGAATAAATAATACTTATACTGTATTGCCAAAAACAGTTTGTTTAGTAGAACTAAATTTCAACCAATTTCATCGGCGGTGTTAATTAACGGTTTAAATCAAAGGACATTACGGTAGGTTGTTTGGTCGGTTTATTTTCCTTCGGACTTTTTACCTAGTATAATTTACTATACATATATATAATTATGATTGATTATACGTAATCAGTTTGCAAATTTTTTGATGAATAAAGGTAACTTAACAATAAAGAACTTGAAGAATTACAATGTAATTAATAGTCGGTTGTCATGTGCTGGTCCATATGGCCAATCCAAAGTTGGCACATTTATCCATTGGGATGAATGGAAGGCAGTTCCATTGCCATAGTCTATTGTTTCATTGAAAAAATTATCCATGAATGGAGTCAATAGAAACTAACAAATAACTACCCGAAATGAAAGTATCGGAGGAGCATTTTGTCTCGAAACGATCACGGGTGTATATTAATAATTGATCAGTTGATACATTTTCGTGATTTTATCGTATGATCTCGTTTGATGCTTGTCGTGATTTATCGCATGATTTCGTTTGATGCATCGTCATGATTTATCGTGGTTTATCGTGTGATGTGATTTTATGACGTAATGACTAGTACAGTATTTGCGATTAGTAATGTTTAAGAAGAACGGACTTTCCCCAGGAGGTCGTCTAAAGCCAGGTAGGTTTTAAATTGATTATTAACAAATTCGTAAATTAAAAATCACGTGATGCATATAAATTACTACCTGGCTTTAGACGATCCCCAGATGAGGTAATTTCTGTTTTTCTGCTAATCCCGACTTTGTCTGTTTTTTTTCGTCTCACTCCTACCCAGCCCTAGCAATCGATTTTGCAATCTGCTTAGGATTTGATGACCTGCCGGGACCATAATAATTTGACTTGAGTTTTGGCGTAGAAGAGAAGACAGTTACGAAGGAATTTTTTCATATTTTGAGTACATAGCACTAACCTAGTTTGGTTTACATAGTAGGCAACGGGGTTTCCAGACAAATTCTGGGGGTTTTTTTTTTTTCACCCGCCCGCCTGTTAGCAACATGAGTAGGTTGTTCTCATATTCTGTACTATTACACGAAAGCGGGAGGGACGAACACCTCATAGTTGTTGTTTCATTTGTAACATTCCCCCCATGAGAGACACAAACTAAAATATTTATAATTAACCCAATAGGACTAAATAAAATGAAGTGAATAGTTTCTTCCATTATGGGGTTTCAGAATGAATTATTCGGCGTCCGATTTCAAGTGGCGTAAATGTTTATCAAAAAAAGATAATTTTATTACCGGCTACGCCTATTTAATTTTCTGATTCTGAAATCTAAAAAAGAAAATAGGATCTTTTAAACCCCATTTATTTTTGAAAAAAGTTACAGTAATTCTGAAACCTTCCATTTGCTCCGTTGATAAAATTTGTCAATGAATAACATCCATTGCAAATCCTCGGCCAATCATTCAAGACATTCGGATTAACTGGGCTAATTGAAAAAATGATACGGTGGTTTTATGATACGTTTCACTCTCACGTCAACACTGCACATGATCAGTAAATCCTATATCGAATAAATCGGTTTACACGACTGGGTTAATCACACTATCATATTTTTTTGTTCGTGTTCAAATTCAAATTTATATACAGTTTGGATAGATAGCTAATAAGAAAAAGTAATAAAATTTATAACACGTAAATCCCGCCATAAAGATATGGTGAGGCGGTGAAAAAGATATACATTTTGATTATAAACCTTTAAAATAGATCGGCCAAAATTATAAGTCTAATGAAGTGTATTACACATTTTCGGCGTGCCGAATCGAATGGCACCAGTATAATTTAGTTCTGAGTGCTGTTTAACGGGATATAGCTTAGAAACCTAAGTGCGCCAGATTACCCACCTGTGCCAGAATACCTACTTTCCCTTATTATAAGCTTAAATTTCTGAGGTCTCATTTTTTCTTATCATAAATTTAGCGAAGCAACGGGTTATATATGTGGTGTTACACATTAATACAAGTAAATCATTTTGATATCTTTTTACTATATAATTATCTCTTATGACAAACTTTCCTATTAAATAGACATCTATTAAATATCAAATAAAACCACTTGACCAAAATCGATAACCTTTTTTTTATTTAAATTTTACAGATCTGTAGAATTCAAATAAAAAAAAGTTCATCGATTTTGGTCAAGTGGTTGCCGAGATATCTTCAATCAAAGTTTTAAAAGTTTGTAAACAATAAAGTGACAAAATCGAAGGGATCTTTGTGTAACCATGGTGCAAATAGCAAAAATCCATGGTGCGAATAGCAATTCCCTAAATATAACTGTATATAAATTTTTTATATATTTCATATATAATAAATATAATTGTGTATAAATTTTTTATATATTTCGTATATAATAAATATAATTGAGTATAAATTTTTTATATATTTCATAAGGTAGATATGTCTAATTTGGTGTGGTTAAGTTCTATGACGAATATCACATGCTATGTCAATCAGAATTGGATGATTTTGGTCTATTCAATTTGTCACATCGAGACGAATCGAATAGCACCAAAATCATCTAATTTTAATCATTTAATCACAAGATATCACTTTTAAAAGTTTATTTAAAAACACAATCTTATTTTAGCACAGTGTCTAATTTGAAGCATTAAAAATTTCTAATATAATATTTTGTGAACTATCAGTTAGAATTATATGATTTTGGTACTATTCGATTCATCTCAATAAGATGAATCAAATGGTA